ATCTTTTTGAAAAGAAATGAAAGAAAACTTCCCTGAATTGGTTAAGGAAATAGACATGCAAGTCCAGGAAGCAGAGAGTCCTGAACACGATGGATGCTCAGAGGCCCACTCATCATAATTAAAATGCCACAGAGAAAGAGAAAGAGAGAATCTTAAAAGCAGCAAGAGAAAAGAAGTTAGTTACGTACAGGGGAGTTCCCATAAGACTGTCAGCTGATTTCTCAAAAGAAAGTTTTCAGGCTAGAAAGCACTGGCAAGAAATAGTCAAAGTCATGAAAAGCAGGGACCTACAGCCAAGGTTGCTCTACCCGGCAAAGATATAATTTAGAATTGAAGGGCAGATAAAGAGCTTCCCAGACAAGAAAAAGCTGAAGGAGTTCATCATCACCAAACCATTATTATATGAAATGTTAAAGGGACTTATTTAAGAAAAAGGAGATCAAAACCATGAACAATAAAATGGCAATAAATATATATCCATCAACAGTTGAATCTAAAAAAGAAACTAACCAAACAAAAATAACAGAGACAGAATCATGGCTATGGGTAGAGGGTTTTGATGGTTGCCAGATGGGAGGGGGAGGGGAAGAATGGGTGAAGAGGTGAGGTGATTAAGAAGAACAAATAGGTAGTTAATGAATAGCCACAGAGATGTAAAGTACAGTATAGGGAATGGAGTGGCCAAAGAACTTACACATATAACCCATGGACATGAACAATGGTGTGGGGATTGCCTGAGGGAGTAGGGGGCACTGTGTGAAGGTTGAAAAGGGGGGGAAAAATTGGGACAAGTGTAATAGCATAATCAATAAAACATAATAAAAAAGAAAATAACTAGCTCCTGCTCTCTACCTCCTTTCCAATTCTTAGGATTTCTCTTCCTTATGTGCCCCTCCATTCTCCTTCGCTAGAAAAGTAATTCTGCAGGACTGCTTTTAAGATAACAAACTTAATGGCAATGAAGTCTTCAACAGGAATATGCCTTGCCCTTGTCATGGGAAAGGCTAAAGTGTACATGGTCCCTAGTCCAATTAGAATGGAGAGAACAAATGAGCATTATTACTCTTTCCCCCCAGCCCAGCTGCCTGACCTTACCTGTTTATTTCCTACACTCCCTAGATCCATTACCAATGAATCTCCAGCTCCATGAGGAGGTAAATCAGCTTGAGCTGGGACCATAGCACAGTGTGATCCTCTTTTCCTTGGAACCACATACTAATATTCCACGTCTGAAAGTTGAAAGTAAAGACAATCACTTCTAAATGAAACCTTCAAATCATCTCCCTTTTGATGATCTTAGAAAAGGAATAAAAACCATGAGGCCTTCTTACAAACTTGTATACAAAGTAACCTTTTTAAGTTAATATATCCATTAAATAATTAAGTATCTACTATGTTTCAGCCATAGTTATAGAAGGAATAACCAGAGGAGGTATTTTAGGAGTTTCAGATTATAATAAACTATACTTAGTCATTTGTATAATATCTGAGAACAAGGAAATCAAATATTGAAAATGGCTGCAGACATATCCAAATACTCATATAAAAATCCTTCCATTCTACAATAAAAGAACTGGGGAAAACAGGATAGGGATTATTCTGTTCAGGGACAATGGGATCCTAAGTAACTCGTAGGAATTTGCATGTGAACACCAGAACAGGATGGAAACTTTGTTAATGGCTTGAATCAACTAGTTTCAGGAAAAGCAAGGAAGACTGCTATCAAATGACATAATCAGATTTAGCCATTTAACCTGAAAAATTAGGGCTTTATCAGCTCCATCAATTACCCAAAGAAGTACTGGGTTGGTCAAAAAGTCTGTTGTTTTTTTTCCAGTAAAATTAAAGACACATTTTTCATTTTCACCAATAACTATTGATTTGGGTATTTTGAGTATGTCTGCTATCTCCCACGTGGTATAACACTGATTGTTTTCAATTAACGTCTCAATTTGATTGTTATCGACTTCAACTGGTCTATCCGACCATGGAGCATCGTCCAGCAAGAAATCTCCAGCACGAAACTTCGCAAACCACTTTTGATATGTTTGATCAGTCACAGCACCTTCTCCATACACTGCACTGATCTTTTTTGGTGTGTTTCAGTTGTGTTTTTACCTTTTTTTTTTTTTTTAAAGATTTTATTTATTTATTTTTAGAGAAAAGGGAAGGGAAGGAGAATGTGAGGGAGAGAAACATGGATGGGTGAAGAGATACACATATCAGTTGCCTCTCATATGTACCCCACTGGGGACTAGGCCTGCAATCCAGGCATCTGCTCTCATCTGTAATCGAACTGGTGACCTTTTGCTTCACAGGCCAGCACTCAACCTACTGAGCCACACCAGTCAGGGCATGTTTTTACCTTTCTTGAAATCAGACAGAGTAATATGCTGAAAATGTTGTATATTTTCTTCCATCTTCAATAATAAAATGGATACACAAAAATTCACTAATTTTGATGTTTTTTAATGCATGCTGATCACAGCTGTCACAATACAATCTAACAGAATGTTTCAAATGAAGTTAAAGACAACTAAGCACTATTATAGCCATCTAACAAACAAGCAAAGTTTTTGGCCAACCCAATATTTAGCAACATTAGATGGGTGCTATCCCAAATGATCAGATGGCTTAATAATCAAAACACAGACCTAGGTCATTCAAATATCTAGAACCTAAAATAATTCCTTTTAACACGTTTAATATCATATAGCGCACACTCTCCAGTTGACAGAAACATCTCTCAATGACAAAGACAGGTAGTAAATACTAAACTTGCTCCACACACCGTTTAGGAATTACAGGGACTACAGCTAACCCTTGAAGGTGAATTCAGAATAGAATGGAAACTCAGTACTAGGCTTGTTTTTCAGAAAAGGAAGTAAGAATCCCACTGAATTCGAGGTTCAGATCAAAACCAGAAGTTGTGCTGCATTAAGAAAAACACTGGCCAGTGCCTACAGGAAGTTATTTGAAGAAACAGGACGAAAGCAGTTAGCTAAGACTTAACTTGTACATGTTGTTTTCTTTACTAAGACCAGTCCTATTGAGAAACAATAGACCCTGGTTTGGGTCTTGTTGATGCTGCTTTCTCTTCTATCAATTCATCTTTTTTTTTTTCTCTCTCAAAAATAGGATTATAGCTCCAGTCATCTGAAAGCCTCAAAAACAAAAAACTGTTCCAAAGGGAAGACTCCATGGGAAGAACAAGAGAGAAAGAAGTTACTCGTATGTCTTTGGTAATGTTCATGCAAACCAATTTTCATTATCTTTCAATGGATGAGAACCCTTCAACTAAGAGAAAATTCATTCACATGAAGGTAATAAATTGAAATGTAACTTGATTTAATTTCTTATTTGTCTCTAAATCTCTTTCATTAGGAATTGACAGCACCCCATTGTTGCGTAACTGCCTGTTTCTATTTTCTTGATTAAACTGTAGTTTTATTGTAATGAAGGTAAAGGCTTAAATTAGAAATACAGAAATTATCCTAATTTACCCAACAGTAGTAAACATTCTAATTTTTTTTTTGAGCATTTTATAATGCATTGTGTCCTTTGGCTTCATATTTCCCCACTTTGACTACAATGCTTGGGCCTAGGTCTTCTACTTTTCTTATAACATCCAGAGTGCACAGACCAGGGATAGGCACATACCAATTACATGTCAGATTTTTTTTTTCACAAGCATTAACTGTTCTATACCAAAATAATCATATTCTGAGTGCCAATCCTATGTAAGGTATTCTACTGACACTGAGGATTCAGAGAAATATGTGATCTACCACACCCACAACAGCAGGCCTTTTATCCTCCCAACCTAATGCCTCTTACTGGTCAAGAACTACCTTGAAGCTGACAGACTCTGTCACCCTCTGACTGTCATCTGTTTAATTAAATGTTTTTAATACTACATACCAAATAAAAACATTTACGAGTAATTTAAGCATAGTTGAAACATCATTCAAAACGATGTTACCATATGGCCCAACCATAAACACCTACACATAACCAGAAGAACTAGATTCCAGGTTTTCGAGAGGACTTTAAATTTTATATCCGTAAGTGGAATAACAAACCTTGATTCCTTTGCATTGCCAACTGTACTCATCAATTTGCTTTGAAATAATAATCAATTTTTAGCAGCTACCTTAAAGAAAATTGCTAACACCTGCTAATTTAAATTAAACGAATATCCAAAGCGTTCCTAACTTCTCATCCAATCCGCACGCCGCCCCGCCCCCTCGCCGGGGATCATCTCCTCCCTCCCCACTCCCAGCCCCGACCCTTATCTCTCTCTCTCTCTCTCTCTCTCTCTCTCTCTCTCTCTCTCTCTCTCTCTCACACACACACACACACACACACACACACACACACACACAGCCAGCACTTTGAGCTCAATCATAATCCCTTGTGCCTCGGATCAAGCCTTTTACACTTCCTGGAACACCCTCCTTTTAGTCCTGGCCCATTATATTCACCACCTCACTATAGGTGGCTGCTCAAAACTATTTCCCTACAGAAGTGTTCTATTTCTCTCACAGTTTAAACATTTACTGAACATGTTATGTGTCAGACACTTTCATGTAATGTTGCGTACGTCAATACATTGCTCACACTTCGTCATACCAATTTTGGGTGTCAGTCCTGGTCACAGCTTCACTAGGACCCCGTGACACTTGAACACCTTATGTCTACCCGCACAGTGTGTTCAGTAACTTGGCATCCTGACTGAACCGTAGTCTTACAGCACGCATTTTGGGTGAAATATCAGACCAAGGGCAGGAAAATCCTGGCCCCATCAGTCAGTTCAGGGATGTGAATGGCGTTAAGGGACTAAACCTCGGGGAGGGAAAGGGCAGGACGAACTGGAAACTAGAGGGTGGTGATTAGCGGGTAGGGCAAAAGCCCAATGAAGGGCGTCTCAGGAAGTCTGGGGCGTTGTCCCAGGCAGACAGTCACTGAACCAGGAACGAGGCGAGGCACGTCCGGCTCACCTGTCGGGGCGGGCCGGTGCCAAGGCTCGGAACCGAAGAGCAGGTCACGGTAGCGCTGGAAGGCCTCGTCGAGGACGGAGCAGCCCGACTGCGCGGCCGATCTGACGTCGTACTTGAATTGGAAGTTGTGCGGGAAGATGGTGTAGTGACAGTCGGATGTCTGGATGTACTGGGGCCAAGGCCACAAGGTCGTGGCCAGCCCAGCAAACGCTGCCGCCAGCAGCAGCGAAAACCAGAGCCTGGAGCCTGCCATGGCCCTCCGGTCTCCTCTGTCCCAGAGGACTGGGCCACGTGACCCCCAGGTCAGGTGAGCGGCGCCCGCGTGACAACCGGAGAGTCACGTGACCGGCGCCGCTCCTTGCCCGTGAGCTAGGAGCGCGGACCTGTCCTTTCTCCTAGAGTGACTCCGGAGCCCCTGCGGCGTGGCGCCGAGAGTGCTGGCCACCGGCGGTGGCCCTTGTTGCGGTCGACTGTAGGGCCTGGCGGCGCAATCGTTAGTGCACAGCGCAGATGCCATGCCTTCCCTCACAGAACTGTGAGCGTCCCAAGACTTTAGAAGGACCACGTGGGGAGCGGGAAAGGAAAGATCCCAGTCCGGGGATTTCTACGCTGAATCTTCAAGGAAGTGTAAGAGTTCACCGGGAACTTAAGAACCAGAAAAGAGAATTAAAACCACAGGTCGCTGCTCTGCCTATGGGGTAGCCTTCTCTTTGTCCCATTGCTTCACTAATAAACTCGCCTTTACTTTAAACTTAAAAAAAAAAAAAAAAAATCCTTGGCGCTAGCTCAGTTGGTTACAGCGGTCATTCCCATAGGCCAAGATTGTGGGTTGTGAGGGGGTATACAACAATTAACCAATGAAAGCATAAATAGGTGGAACAACAAATCTCTCTCAAATCAAAAAATTAAAAAAATTAAAAATGATAAAACAACTGGTAAAATGCTGTGGGGCTGGTATTAGGCACTCTGCATGGACCTTCTAAAGGGGATCACAAGATCTCAAAAATGTGATCCACTTACGGGCATGAAGTGTGCTTTCAGAGCAAACTTGAGGTGTCCCAATTCCTTCCTCTGGTGTGCGCTCGTCTCTTTTTGGCTGATGATCTCCTAGTAAGTGTCCCCAAATTCCCTCCCCCAGGCAAAACTTCACAAACTGGGGTATGTACTTACTGCAAGTAGTAAAACAGTGTTTGAACTTTGAGTGCAGGATGGAGAATGCCCAGAGGTAAGACAGGGGCCTGGACCTGCAGAGGCTTACATAGAAGTCCAAGGTCAGGACTTTATTTTGTGTGCAATTGAAAAATCACCTGCATTTTAGAATCTGCTGATTTAGAAATGCTGATACTAGAAAAATATCTGCATTTTAGAAATCTCATGTTGGATAGTTGAATGGACGAGAAACCAATAAGTCCCTCCCCCACCTTTTATTGGAGACGAAAGATAATGAGAGCTTCAACTAAAGCAATGGTGAAGGAAGAGAGCTATAGAACCAGGAAATAGTGGGTATCCAGAAGTGCAAGGGTTCATACAAGAGAGTCTTGAGGGCTAATCAATGAGAACTCCATAGATACTTGAGTTAGGGACCCTGTCTTCCTTGTTTACCACTGTATCATCAAAGAGTAGTTGAATGCCTGACTGCAAAAGGAGATAAAAGTTATTTGGCTGGTATATACTTTTTTAAATCATAAAATTTCATTTTAGTATTAGAATAAGTGTGAAGATCAGGAAAATAAACTTTTTTAAAATAAAGGGCTCTTAAAATCATGGTAATTTATACAGGGTGGGGCAAAAGTAGGTTTGCAGTTGTTCAAATGGAAAATAATACAAGAATAAACTGATTCCCATACTCATGACCATAAACCTACTTTTGCCCCACCCTGTATTTAAGTGTTAGCTACCTAATTTAGTAGTTATATATACTTCACTCATAATGGGAAATCAGATAAAGAAATATCATCTCACTTTTGTAACTTCCCAGGATTCATCAATTTTCTCTTAGCAAGTTAATTATGCTAGGATGGAGGAATCCAATCTTAATCACAGTTTCAGATCCTCAGATTGCATATTTCTTGCATTGCTTAAACCTAAATTTTCATCAGCACTAATGAGTTTCTGGTTACTTCACCAGTCAGGAGGTACATTAACCAAGGTACTAGGGTGAGGACCCCAGAATCATTGTCAGGAGAGCCAAGTTCATAATCAGTCTTCTGTTCCACAAGACCAGTAGTTTTAGGAGAATTCAGAGCATGTTCAAAGGTTAGAGCAGCAGGTCAAAGTAGGGTTTCAGGACTGAGCACGTGCCAAGGCACTCCTTCATGTGATATTTAACCTGTACCAGGGGAGAAGAGTCATTTACATAAGTCACAAAATAAATGAACTGGACCCGAATAAAGAAATTGTAAAAATTACTAATGAAATTCTTAGAAGTTTTTGATGAGTGAATATTCCAAACATATTATTCTGTCTCTGACCAGTATATCAGGTAATCAGAAAAATAATGAATAACCATTAACAGTTTTAAACATTATCATAACCCTAATAAATATTCAGAGACTAGCATAGTGATAGTAGCAAAATTTAAAATTAAACAGTTATTTAACAATATGATACTGAAAGTAAACTGTAACTGAAAAAAGGGGTAAAAAAATATGAATTCTTTAAATCAGTGTATACACAACATTACCATCAATTTTGAGAATAGATACATACAAAAATGACAAGTAATATAGTATTTGGTTGTTTTCTCTACTTTTCCTTTTATTAAGGACAGCTTATTAAAGGAATAGAACGATTTAATTTCCATATTTATAGCTTCCAATAAATTAGTTAACATATCAGAAAAGGAATTCACCATCAGCTAATGTGTCCTGATACTTGATACTTGGTTCATAAAGCAGGGTCAGTCATCACTGTAGACGCAGAGAGTAGGAAATGGTTAATGTTGCCTGGGTAAATCTTTCACAAAGGAGGTGAATTTTGATCTAACTCCTAAAGCATGAGTCAGCCACTCAGCGAAGGGGATCATGGGCAAAGCACAGAGGTGTGAAAGAAGATGCATCCTGAGCATAGAGATTATGGGATAGCAAAAAGACATGATCATACGTCATGATTATGTCACTTTTACCGTACTCGCTTCTCCCTGGAATGCCTTTCCCACCTCCCACTTCAACTCCCACCACCTACCTGAAAGTGTAAGGTTATATTCTTAAGGACATCTTAAATCTCTGATTTCTCAAACTGGTGTAAAATCTCACAGCCCTTTGGCTAATCTCCATCAGAGCCCTCATCTCATAGTATTGTCATTGCCTGTCCATTTGTCTTCTCCACTAGAGTAAAAGCTCCTTAAGGACAGATTCTGTATTCATTGCTGTATTTCTAGCCTTGGTGCAGTGTCTAGTATATAGTAGATGCTCAACAAAGACTTGTTAATCAATGACTGAAGGTTTCTGAGTATCTTTTTTCCTAGTTAGCAGCATTTACTTATCCTTTACATCTTAGCTTAAACCAGACCAACAAGTATGCTGTAAGTGGAGCACATGGGGGCTGACACAGTGATTCCCCTTAATCCTTGGGTGGCTAGGCAGAGCCTGGGGCTGCTAAATATACTGGCCATAACCTCTGGCCAAGAGCAATTTCCTAACTGTGCTGTGATGTGAAAAACTAAGGACTTAGACAGCACCTCCTTTTGGGTGCTGCTTTATTTTATAGCACCCTCATTTTAACCTATTTTACTTGTCCATGTTCCCCACAGACTACATGCTGAATGAATTGTATCTTTTTCCATAGCTACGTCCTTCTGTCCAAACCAGGAGTCTGCATGCAGTAAGAGTTCAACAAGTATTTTTTGAACAAAAGCATGGGTAAGGAAGCACTTGTATTACAATTTTAAAGACAGTCAGAATATCAGTGTGTGGAAGAAAAAAGCAGTCCGTGGAAAAGGACTACAAATCAGAATTGAAAACTCTAACTTGGTCACTTTGTGATCCTCTGGTCCCAGAACAGTGTCTGGCACTCAGACGCTTAATGAATCTTTTGAAATGAATAGAATTAAATGGCAAATGTACCTTGCCAGAGATGTCTGAAGAATCTGAAGCAATTCTACTTGTTTAGAAACAGTAGTGTATGAAGAGAACTACTGACAAAAATAATGTTAGCATCCTCTTTATCATAGGAGCCCTGTAATTTGGGCTCTTGCCCACTTTAAGATTACAACTAAGTCAGATAAACTTATGGAAAAACATCAGAAATCCTATCCAGGGTTAGGCCATGTTAGGACTTTTAGACCAAAAAAGAGAAAATTTGTGTAGTTAAGACAGTGATGTCATGTTTAAGGCCCTTTAAATAGTGGCTCCTTTTGCTTAAACTACATTCTGCTCCAGACAGCCTGATGGCTGCTCTGGACTAGAATTATCTTGGCTCTAGATCACTTAGGTCTTCATGCCCATAGCCTTAATTGTTATAGATGCTCATGCTGGCCATATCCATGGAAATAACCTGCAACCTCTTAAGAGAGATGGGATGTCAAAGAAACCTTAAATGGAGTGTATAAGTTCTTTACAGAAAATCATTCAGAGTTTGAATGGTTATTGGCCACTGAAATTCCCCAGTTGGCCTTGGAAGATTTATCAATCACTTCTTACCTTACTTCCATTCTCTTCTTGCCTGAGTCCTCCATCATTGTCTTCCTTCCTTGACTAAGATCCAGGGTAAAGCCCCCAGGGACTCTAGAGAACAGATCCCTTCAAGCTTTCTGTCCTTTGGCCATCTGTTAACATTTGGCTTCAGAAAAAGTTAGTACCATATTACTGTGATACACCTTTCCAAAATGTCTAATTTCACTGATGCTGCAGGTGGATGTCTTGGTGCTAAGAGCACCAGGTAAAATGTCTTACTTCTTTTGGGAGTGACTTTTGGATCTTTCTCTCAGATTCCTTTTCTTCATGTTGGGATTCACTATCCCTCTTAAAATTTGTCTCCCATGTGGGTGCTACGGAAAATCCTCTGTGCCTAGAGCAGGGTGTAGTCAAAACAAAGAGTCCCTATTACAGGTGCTGCTCTCCAACTACATAATCTAAACCCCAGCTTTCCAGTTTCTTCATTTGGCACTATCCCTCTTAAAATTTGTCTCCCATGTGGGTGCTACGGAAAATCCTCTGTGCCTAGAGCAGGGTGTAGTCAAAACAGAAGGAGTCCCTGAGTTGACAGGGTGCTGATTCCCGGCTCATCCATATAGACTATTCAGTAGTGATCTGGGTAAAGGCCCCAGCTGTAGTGAAGTGTCCTCAGCATGTATC